AAAAAAATGTACACCAATTCTAATCTTTTTTAAAATTTAATAACAAAAATGTAGAACTTTAGATTAAATTTGCAATCTATAAATTTCTTTGCAATGCGCAATTTTTTTGGCAGCTTTGCAGCTTCCCATCACGTCCGGGATATAAATCATATCAGCAGGTCTCTTGGCCAACGCCTACGTAATCGTCGTGGTGGGCTTTACGGGTTTATTGTACGATGAAGGATTTCTGTCAGGGGATTCATGTTGTACGTCAGTCTTTGGTGAAAGTTATTGTAGTTCTCTTTTGTAGTATCTAAAATTGTAGGTACGTTTAAATCTTTATGTAGTGTATCATTTGCGACATAAAACGGTGCGTCAACTATCCTTCGCAACACTTTAGACTGAAAGGACTGAACTTTTTTAATGTTGGAAGTTTTAGCAGAACACTACAGTTCTATGCCGTAAGTCCAAATTGGTTTAAGTAAAACTTTATAAAGGGTTAGTTTGTTAGTTAAAGATAATTTTGAACGTCTGTCAAGTAATCTGGATAAAAGACCGTATCGTCTGTTTAATTCTAATCGTTTTGTCTGATGTGAGTCCTCCAAGTAAGTATTTGTCCAGGTAAAAAACTAAATACCTTATTACGTCTGATGTTGGAATTTTAATGTTATTAAAATATATTTCAGGTGAAGGTTTATGGTTAAGAGTGAATACCACATGCACACTTTAATTTTCCACCTTGTGGCCCAATCTGCAATATCGTTCAGATCATTTTAAAGAGTGGTAGGTACTCGAACATGGGTTAATGAATTTGACAATAAAATACAATAACTATCAAATCTAACAAGTTCCAGTCTCGTCACTTTAGTTCCACTTATTGTTTTTGTTTGGAATACAGATGAAAAGTAATTGAACTACTAGGTAATATTAGATTGTTTTATATTCTTTGGAAATCAGAATGTTTACTGACAGTATCTACAAAAAATATTTTTTATTTAACTAACTAAAAACAATGTATTCCAATTCTAACCTAAAATAATTTTTTATATAACAGAAGATGACGAGTATGGACACTGTTTCCTGTTTATATTTTTAAATAGAAACATTTAAAAAACAAAATAATAGGGTACGGTATAATATAGGAATAAACATCGATAGCCGATATTATCAAAACATCGATATTTTCCTACCGATATTTGATAGTTTACTACCGATATTATCAACTATAGATATTTAAATTTAAAACTATCGTTTTCGAAAACCGATAAAAATATATACTTAACTTTCCTGTTTCATGTAGAATGTAGTGCGTAGTAGAGGGAAATATCGATATTTCGTTAATATCGACTATCGATGGTCATCCATAAGTGGAGTTGAATAACGCGCGTGGGATACCCTTCTCACGCAGTAAACTCAATTTGTTAGTTAGAACCATCTCTAACCAAGGTAGGTTGCAAATAAATTTTGCTCAATTCGATTCATGGATGAGTGAAAGGTATAATTGGTTGAATGGAAATTTTTGGTAAAAATATGAGAATGAGCAAGAAGAACAGGAACTAAAAAAATTAATTTTACTAAGGAGAATTGATATCTACATTAATTAATTCAAAGAGGAAAATAACATCTTTTTTGATGCGCCTATGTGCGACAGAATTAATATTTATATAGATATTCATATTTCTATTAATTCAAACTATTAATGCAGATCCTCTCTGCAACAGCCTCTCAGGAAAATATATGATCAAGATTTCTGTTAATAATAAAATTGCGAAAATTACTCCAAAACTTGAGTGCAAAATGTGCAACACTAAAGAAAAGGAAACACTTTCATCATATATTATTTAAATGCCCAATTTATAGTAGTTTAAGGTTAATTAAACTTTAAGAATTTATCAGGGTATGGAAAATCTTGACGGGATAGAAATATTTAAGCCAACCAGTGCAGAAGATATGAGAAAATTATATTTTTTTAAACTCAATTATATTAAATTATAGAGAATTAGTAGGGTAATCTTGAATATTGTCCTCCGTATAATATGGCAAAAATTCCTTATTGTACATCGGCATGAAATCTGGTATTTTTCTTGTCTGTTCTCTTAGATATAGACAAGAAATCTATTAATTTAATTTTAAAACATAGTTTAATATTAATATTTTTTTTAAAATGTATATTTATTGTTTTATGTGTATTTATGTATGTATATTGTTGACATTTTTAGATTTTATATTAATTTGATAATTGGAACTATTTTAACTGTCTGACCTTTACTGAATATAATTTTTAAATTATGCTTACGAGTGTTATAATGTCTGTTCTGCGGTATTGAAAACAATTTGTATTTCCATAAGGATAATAATGTTTGTTATTTCGTGGTAGACTCCATTTGCATAGGGTTCTTCCCTTAAAACAAATAAAGATTGATTGATTGATTGATTATTCATATTTCAAAAATGTTTATGATATAATATATGTTTATAATAATATCGATACTGCGCCTTCGATATCCTATACCTAGCATGATAAGATGATGAGAATAGTTGCATGATATTTAAAAGGTATGCAACATATATATTAATTATTGATTAATGATGTGATGTAATATAGATTAATATAGTGTAGGTCACAGAAATTCGATGGGTTTAAGATATAAAATAAAATAATATAAATTATAGAGACTTTGTCATTGGTAAAAATCTTGATTTTTTTTTTTTACTTGATTTTCAATTAATAAAATTGAATAGAATTTTAAAATTAATTGAACTGCCTTTTTCTTGTTCTGTTTTATTCTGAGTATTTTATAATTTATTTCCGAATTTAACTTATCAAATATGGCTGAAATAGTATTTTAAAAAACATATCAATACTTTAATTGATTTGCAAATTTTCAAAACGTTAACTCAAAAAGGATAAAAAATGGTAAAACTATGTCTTACAAATTTTAATATTTGTAATTTATTTATTCAATTTTAAATGATTTAAGTGATCATATCATTTTGTCAATGTTCATAGGAGTATATTACTTGCTGTGTGTGCGTTCTAATTTTCTGGTTTTAAAACTTTGGCATTCGAATAACATATGTATATATTTTTTTTTGCCCTATAAATTTCAGAAATTGTCTTGTATCGGTTTTACAGAAATATGTATATATTGTATAATTGTGGTTGTGTGTATTAGTATTGATATTGTCTATGCTGTGTAATATGAAAAACAATTTGTATATACATAAACATATGTTAAGCATAATTAAGTGCTATGTCCAAAAAAAAAGGGTTGATGAGTACGCTGTGTATCGAGCAACCCTGTATTGTATCTCTTCTCTCGGATTTCGGATCTTAGGACATATTCCACGTTGATGAAGACCAATAAAATGGGTCGAAACGTAGAATAAATAAAATATTTCAGACTACTTGAAATATTATAATTTGAAATATTACTATAAATATTGTGTTATCACTGCAACCCCGACTCATATATTCCTTATATTTATTAAAACTTATGGTGTCAGTGTAATAATAATTTACAAAAAAATTTTTTGGAAACATCCCTAAAATATATTTTTATTTTTTATGTATTGTCTAAATCTTAAAATCCCGAAAAAAATAATTTATACGTAAAAGAAAACCCGATAATTCTAGGGGTTCTAAAACTGATACAAAATGCATCCCTATTCACCGTCCATACGATGCGAAACTATATTATTTAAAAAAAGAAATACAAAAAAAAGGAATCAATTCTAGTGCAACCACACTTCCAGAAATCCAATAGCTAAAAAGGAAGCTCCTCGCTGGACGAAGGAAGGAGAAGAAATAATGATGTTAATCCTGAGTCCTTGAAGCCCTGGAGCTGGAGGAAAATAAAAGAAAATGGAAAAAATAAATACGTTCTTACTCCAGTATTCTTCTGACCCAGTTAAGAACCAGTGCAACAGGCTCTAGTGTCTCCAATCTTTAGAAAAGTAGGGAGGGGGGATAATAATTAATTGAATATTATAATTATTGTGAAAAATAAAGACTAAATAACAGTTAATTGCAATGAAAATGCACATTTCGTTTTTCTTTTTTTCAAGTTTAAAAAATAATTTTTATAAAATTTGAGATGTTTTAATCTGTAAAAATCATAATTCTATGAGTGAAAAAGAGTGTTTTTATTTATGCTAAAAAGGGTTCCTCCTTTCCGCCCAACAGCGGAACAACCCCCATTTTACGGATTATTCAACTGTTCATTTAATTGTATTACGCGGCGCTCAAATAGTATTACTTTAATTTACATTAAGGAAAATAAACTTTATTTGAGAATAACTCAAAAAGTATGCATTTTTTTCTTGATTGTATCTATAATAATTAGAAAGATTACTAAAGTACCTACAAAACAAAAAAAGAAATCGGACAATTATTACAAAGATATAGTCCATTATTTTTGGTATACTTAATAATGTCTTCCTGTTTAAAGATACTGCATTTAGGAGAAGAATAGTCCACTAAATTATTTTTCTGGCTTTTATATTAACTTTATTATTTCTTAAAGACATTTGTTTGTTCTTACATTTTATGTTTTATAATAATTTAGAATATCCTATGATTGGGGCATTATTTTGTCTTTATTACTTTATTACCTTTCCAGTCAGCGTTTAAAAATAGGTCCTAGCTAAGCAATTTGTACAATTATATTTTGGTCTATTATAATTAATAGAATTCTGTAATCGATCAAGGAAAAAATATTAATTCCTTCCTTACATAATACATAGGAACTACTTATTTCCATATATTGTTTTGCTATTTCTTCACTAAACAAAATTTTCTGCGAATTTTTCGCACGGGCCAACTAGTAGATATACATTTTATTTTCTAATAGAGTTTTTGAAAAAAATTAATTTTTTTGTTGAAATATCTATACATTTCCTTGTAACGATATTTATGACAAGATTAGGTATATACCTTTTAACTACGGAAATTTCCAGTATAGCATATCTACTTAATATTACAGTTCAAATACAGTAATGGATATAATTTCTATTTTTAGTACCGTTACCTACTGAGAACTATATGAGGGAAGATCTCATCGCGCGAAAGATGGTAAACACGATACAGCGAGAGAAGCGGTTCCACAATGGTACACTCAACCAACTGCCTGCCACGCTTGGTATACCAACTGTGAACGTCTCTTCCTTCCGACACACATCTCATACCACGATACTTAATATTCACCAGGCAGTGACCATCTTAGGAACTTAGGAAATTACAAAAAATATATTTAAATTTAGGTCAAGAATACATGAAATGTAAGAGATAAACTGTAGATAATTTGAAGCCTTTTATCACATAATTTAAGAGACGATTAATAAGATATTAATTAATTATTTCTAATCGCAATCGGCCTTGCGAAATTGCTAATTTAATTAACTGCCTAATTAATAATAATGCAATATCTTTCATCAATTGTCTTCATGTTTTTAATTAAGTTATTGATAAGGATTGAGAACTCTTGAGATAGCAAGCGTAACACTCTGAATAACTAACAAAAAGTTCAATGAATTTCCTTTTTATTCATAAAATTTAAAACTGTTTTACAATACAAATACATCTAGTAAATGTAATGAAGAGAAATATAATCCGTACATATATTATTGCAGTAAGGCTCGAAATCTATTTTGTACCAAATATACTCCTGTCATGCTCAAATACCATGAATGGGGTACCGTTAAATTCAGAATTTCACGGGGGGTTAGCGAATCGTATTCTCCACTTTTGCTTTTCTTTCTAAAATAATTAAAGTCGATACAAACATTTTGCTAGGCTTCAATACTGGAACGGTGGTAGGTCTGTAGATCGATACGGGACAAATTGGATCTTGAAGATTTTGATGCGTACAGAAACTATCGGATCCTGCGTTTTTAATCCCAAAAACGTACAATTTTCGAGATAACTCAAGGCATAGGGTTCGCATCCACGCAACCTTACATTAATTGTAGTACTGTCATTGAATACATGCCTCTATGATCGAGAGAGGAGGAGTTTATATTATTTATCGATGGTCTTTATGATCGGCAAGCCATATCATCGTCAATTTTTCACCAAATCTCAAGATTGAGCCACCAATTTCGAAGGCTTCCTTCTCCTTCAGGCGGGCAAAAATATAGCTCACTAAAATTTGTAAGCATGTTGGTTCCAAACAAAAATGAAGATTTAAATTAATTTTTCTTTTATTTGTCGATTATATTTATCGATAAAGTAACATTTGATTTCTTTATCTTTTGATACGTTGCATTATTTTATTTTCTTATTAATCTGGCATTTGATAACAATATGCTTTGCGAATTTTTCGGGCCTACTAGTAAAATAAAAATACTTGTAGAGAAACTACTCACTAGTAACTCTTTAATAAAATTCCTAAATTGGGAGATCATGAGGCCATCTTCTTCTCAGACGCCTCTGAGGGTTAACAGAAGAAACCAAGATTAGAAACGATTATTATGGAAATATAGATAATTGGATTCGATCAAATCAGAAACATATGGAACATTAAGTTCGTTATGGATGATTTTATTTCTGACAAAGTAAGCAGCATTAAGGATTTCGGATTGTAAGGATTGGATATGAGAGGAATTGGATGATTTAGTGGAGTCCTAAAGCTAAACTCCGTTAGTCTAAATATGCCTTATTATATACAGTCATGTATATGAGTCATTTATAATTACTTGGAAGTTTAGAGGTTTTGAGCAGTATGAGGTCAATCAGCACGTTTCTTTATTCATGTTTAGAATCATCGATGGTTCATTTTTCTATTTCAAGAGTGGGAATATTAAAACAACGTACTGGTCCTTAATACCAGTAATGCGTCTGATTTAGAGGCGCTGAGATCTTCTAGAGTCCTGCTTTTCCTTCCTCGAGTGGGGAGAGAGGCTTGGCTCGAAGATTTTGGGTGAATGATTTTTTTTTATTTTTTTAGATATTGTATAGAAGCGTGTATGTGAGTAGTTGTTTTTATTAGTTTAGTTTCGTTTTGTTTAATTTAGTTTATATACATTTACTTTTAGTATTATTAGTTCCTGTATTATTTATTTTTATTTATTGTAAATAGAGTGTGAATGTGCTCTCTGAACACTATTATAAATGTCCTTAATTGCGACAGATTGTAATATCTTTCAATGTAGCATAAAAAAAAACATCGTGAATTTAGATTTTTATAGCATAACAATTAAATATCAATTTATTCTTCTATTGATATTTGTCAGTAAAAAACATTATTAGCTTATATATATATATATATATATATATATATATATATATATATATATTTTTTTTTTTTTTTTTTTTTTTAGGTTCTTCGACAACCTACAATATAATAATAAAGTTTTCAAAAGATTCCGATATAGATGTAACATGGGCGATAGTCAGGATGAAAACAATTTTAAAGTTAACATTTTTAGAGTGCTACCAATGCGTAGTTTCTCAACAAGTGATCTCATGCTATTATATTCTTTTGTTCACATTAACTGAATGTATTTTTACTTGTAATACAGTTGTAAATATCATCAATAAAAAAAATATTAAAATAAAATAAAAAAGTTATTTATTGCCAACGTTTCAACCCAAACTTGTGGGTCGACACCAGGGCATGTTTCCTTCAACGATGCTCTAGAAAATATAGCTTTGATAAAAAGATTTAGGACCAATTTTTTGAAACGATATGTGATGCTGAATTTAGTTGGAAAGTTTTTATCACATGTTAAATTGCCTGAGGTTAATGGAAATAAATTATGGTAATAATGTTTGAAATCGACATTTCATAAGAAAAATTAAGGGCCCTTCCATATAGGCTAATTGTGAAAGTGGATGGGAAAAGTGGTTTAGAAGGGATTTTTTTTATTTTGATCCATATGCTTGAGTTGAAACGTTAAAAAACTCACTGAGTCCTAGCTATCATTCATGGTTTGTAGACCAATCGATAAACTTCCATACGATATATCGATACAACTGATACAGGACAAAATATCGATATGTAATGAAATGAAATGAAAATAGATTTTTATTATCCTGGTACTTTTGTCCCTTTAGGACAAATTATAGATACAGAGGAAATGCCTGTGTGGTCATAAAATTAAATAAAATATTTACAATACTCATTAAAATAAAAATATTGGATGAAAAATAAAACAAAACCACTAAATACGTACAGATACGTACTAAATACGTATATTATATACACTACAAACATGTGAAAATAAAATAACTTAAAAAGTTCTCTTATCTACTTTTCATGATCAATCGGGTTGGTAAAGGAGTAGGTGGTTAAAAAGGAGAGATTTAAATGAGGAAACTGATTGCGCATGTCGGATATCGGGAGGGATGGTATTCCAGGTGGAGACGGCTTGAGTTATAAAGGATTTGTCAAACGCAGCAGTTCGGTGAGGAGGTGGATAGAGGTCAGAAGTACGGGATCTAGTAGGACGGAATTGAATGGAATATTTGAATTGTAGGCTGTGAAAAATATAGGAAGGCCGTTGAATTCTGATGGCTTGGTATAGGAAGGTAGCAAAGAAGTACAGACAGCGGTTGGATGGATAGAGCCACTTGGTGTAATACTGGGTTATATGCGTATCTCTTGAGATTCCGATAACAAAACGTATTGCGTATGTAGATAGATAGATAGAAAAAAAACTTTATTCTGGGACTAAGTCCCTTCAGAATAACAAAATTGTACAAAAAGAATAGAATACTACTGGTCTAAAAGTTTGAAACAATAAATAAAATCAATAAAATAAACTATAAAGTAAAGAAACCCTTTGGTAAACAATCTATATACAATACAGATAAAACTATGTACAAAACATTTTAAACTATGAACAAAACTATAATGGTTGAACAGCATAAACATAAACTTTGAGAAACGAAGAACGAAAAAGAGACAAAACAGAATAAGTTCATTTCATAAAAAAACTTGACTTAATAATAATATTCAATAAAAAAAAATTCAGTAAAAATACATGTACTACCTCTTAAAAAGTATTATAGTATAGTATGATTGATTGCTACACAATACATATATAGTATTAATAGTTAGCTTGTATCTGACTGTTTTTGGAACAGGAATTGGAATAGGAGGTTTTTGAATGTAGATACGGAGGGGGAAATTTTGATCGGGAGGGAATTCATATATCTATTTTTCCCGACAACTCTAGTTGCGCTGTAAACCACAAGGTACCGTTTTGTTCCCATTTCTTTCCCCTGTGTACATAGAGATACCGCAGCCTTCATGATCATTAATATCCTCATTTCCTGGCATCCATTATGAACAACCAAGCATTCCGGTAAATGTATTCAGCGCGCGGTATGTAAAATAGAAGCGGAATGTATAATTTCAACGCATTTCAAAGCCATTTAGTTGCTATGCAGATATATTTGCATTCCACGGATTTAGTCAGGCTTTGATTGAAATTGATTAGTCATTTATTGTGGCATTTTAATATAAAACAATTTAGTAATCAAATTAGTTTCTTGCACATCAAATAAATAAATAAATCGAGGGATGATTTACAGTATGTAAAACAGAAAATATATAGACTTTGCATATATAACTTACTATTTATTTCATAGATATCTGTTACTGTTATCATTTTATCCATAATTTCTTAACCGCTATGTTAATATATCCTAAACTTAAATTAAAATCTTTTTTAAATTCTTGAATGAAGTTAATCGACTGTTCTACATATCGTGGGTGATAAATATTCAGGACGCAGTCTTTTTCAAAATTTTTATTTTTGCCAACGTTTCAACCCAAACGTGTTGGTCATCTTCAGGGCTGAAAATGTTTTTTTTTTTAATTACAATCACAGATATAATAGTATACGACCGCTAATTATAAATAATAAACTATAGTGATTGATGGCACATGAATCTTAACTAATATTGTAATACACATATTAAAATAGTTATACAAACTAAAAATAAAAAATAATGTATATAATCCATTTATATAAATTTGTCATATTTAAAAAATCATTTTCAGACCTGAAGATGACCCACATGTTTGGGTTGAAACGTTGGCTACAATAAAAATTTTAAAAAAGACTGCGTTCTAAATATTTATCACCCATAAACTTTTTTATCTTTAAAAAATGTGTTATTTTTTTACAGAACGTTTCACAAATATCTCTATACAAAACTATAGAGTAATTTATGATAATTATTTTTTAAGAAATAACTGTTCCCATGATATTTGCAAAAATACA